CGAATATTACAACAGAATATTACAATGAGAAAAGCCAAAACTATAACCTTGTAAGAAACCTAAACAAAGTGAAAAGGTGAGAAACAGATTCACCCGATCACTTCTTCTAATCACCACCCCCGAAAAAGCAAGGTAAGATTAGCCAAAAAAAACATCAAGAAGAGGATAAAACTCTCTCATTCTCAAAGAAACCATTTAACCAAAATGGATGAAAGGACGCAACATAAGATTGTAAACGTAATACTGTATGTCAATGACACTGAAATCCTTCGACCAAAAAAAAAAAATGACACTGAAATCCAGGTAATGTAATATTGAAATCCTCTAGAATCCCCTCAAAACACATGAGATTTGATTTTTATAAATTTTCACTAACTCTACCAAAACACCATAAAATCCATTAATTTTTTTGAATTTTCAAGTCCACTGTTTAATATATTTTCAACAATAACAGATTTTGAATTAAAAAATTTAAATCACTAGTTCATAAACTTTTGAAAATAATGTTTGAATAACATTGAATTTTTCATTTTTATTCAAATCACTCAAAATTTTGGTTTGAACACGTCCAGATTTTTTTTGGTTGGATTAGTTTATAGATATTTTCAATGTATAACTAAAATTTATTTTGATTTGAGTACTATTTCGTATTGAAATAAATACTATCTATATAATCTATAATGCAAATATGAATCATTTGGAGTTATCAAAGATGAACAGATGGTTACACCTTCAACTATGGATAGTCTCAACTTATTCTTTGTTTTATTAATAATAAATATAGTGTTTTAGACAAATAATCATAATCTAGTTACATATTTGGCAATAAACTTTCGTGTGTACAAAACTACCACATTCATGATCAAGTTTAAATTTATTAGAGGAAAGCACCAATATGTTTGTAATGGTTTTAGTATTCAGTTTTTGAGTTGTGCGGTTCAAATTCAAGAGTTCTTATCCATTGAAAATTGTAGATATCGTAAATTCGTAATAATGAGTAAAGAATTAGAAAGGAAAGAGATTTTCGGGTAATGGGCTGGTTTTAGTATCTAAAATCATTATCCACATTTTCGCCAAATGGGCTTAATATTTCTTATACAAATTCTTTTATGTTTGTTTGATTACATTGTAGGTATGGAACAAAGACAATTGTCCACTAATGAACGAGTGAACTCAGCAGGAATTGTGGAATTGTTTGGCATCTTGATTTGTTACTTAGATAATTGATTTGACTTTTTTTTTTTCTGCTGTGGTATAAGAATATACATTTGTTTAGCATTCTCATCCTTTCTTATTTGATACTTTTTAGAAGCAAAACGCAGCTCTAGTTCTTGTATAATTGAAACTTCAAAACAAAATAAAATATGTACGCGTCATTTCTCTTAGGTTGAATAAAGTTAGCCAAAGCAATTGCTTTTCACTCTCGTTTTATTGTACCCTAATCAAGTACAAAATGTTAGCTAATATAAAAATACCTCAAGCGTGATAATTAATCCCCAAAATAAATAGCGGTACAAACATAAATATTTTAAGCATCAAGAATAATAACAAGAGATTGTTATATATGTCTATCCCTAACAATTTTAGTAACTGTGAGTCTGTGACCCAACCTTGAATGTTCCGGGTAAACATTTTTTAATTGCTCTAGGAAAAAAAAAACCCGAAAATGTTGAAATACGTATAATGAGGACATCTTAGGATGTACGAACATACGTATACGTGTGAGCTCATATAAAATAATTTAGTACAAAACTTAAAGAAGTGTGTCTGACAACAAAAGGAGCATGATCAACGCCGAGGAAATCCGGTTTTATATAAACCAAACATCATAAACGTACTTACCATAAACGTACTTTCTTCAAAACCTACTCCTCAGAAAATTTCAAATCATTCACAAATACAATCACCATGGACGAACAAGAACCAAACATCATCTCAAGCTTACCACTCGAGCTTCTTCTTTACATCATAAGCTTCCTCCCTTTCGAATCCGCAAGACTAACCCCTTTCGTCTCCACTCGGTTTAGGTCCACGGGCCTCTCTAGCTTCATCAACGACTTCGACGAGCACAATCCTTTTAAAAAAATTCGGAAGCTAGAGTTGCACTTTGACAAGTCAACCTTCGTGTCAACGATTCTCACACCTCATAACCATTTGACAAATTCGCCAAAGAAAAGACTCAAAAGAGTAAAATTTTGTTTGTAAAGATGAAATTCCGGACAGATCTAATCAAACCACAGACTCACAAAGCAGCTGTTTAAAAGACACGAACTACTCCAGCTAATACGACTGAATCACTTCTTGTCGTCTTCATCGATCGTTCCGAGGTTCTGCTTGAAGGATTCTTGCCTCTGAAGCCACATCATATGTCCCTGAGACAATTGCAATACAGAAACACGTTCCAAAAATCAAATTTTGAGCTTCCAAAATTCCATATAAGAAACCTTAGAATCAAACGATATAACAAATCCTTTAAAAAAACTGTGTTATCAGTTAGAGGGATTGATCTGGAGACCAGCAGCCCAGACGATAAGTAAGGACGCAACCCATAATCTCTTGTCCGTGACGATCGTCTTCGCATTGAAGCTCGCCATTTAACCCTTTTTCCGTCTTTGAGATTTTTTTTGTTCTCTACCTTTTTCTCGATGCATCGAAGATGGGTTGGCGGATTTTGTTTTCACAGCAACTGCAAAGGCCCAAGCCCAAGCCCAATACCCTTTATTTGAAATTCAAATTCAAAATCTAAAATTTTAAAGAGTTTTCGGTTTTATGAATTGTGGATTTTAGTTTATAAAACTGATATTAAATGTAATACTGTATATCCAGTTAACGTAATATGGAAATCCTCTAGAATCCCCTTAAATCACATGAGATTTGATTTTTATTTTTTTTTCACTCTACCAATACACCATAAAATCTTTTAATTTTTTTTTGAATTTTCAAGTCCACTGTTCATCAAATCAAATCTTCGACGTACATGGAAACTGACGGGCATGCAAGCGTCGACTATGCGAAAGCGCTGATAGGTATACTCTGGGATCTCGAAAATCTCCATATCCCGTCCAGTCGTGATGCGAAAGAGTTCGTCGACAAAATCAAAGAGTTGTTGATGACCCTTTGGTTTTTGAAATAACATGTTTAAATAACATTGAATTTGTCATTTTCATTCAAATCACTCAAATTTTTAGTTTGAACACAACTAGATTTTGTTTGGGTTGGATTGGTTTATAGATATTTTCAATGTATAACTAAAATTTATTTTGATTTGGGTACTATTTCGTATTGAAATAAATTATATAACCATGTGAATTACTATATCTATATAATCTATAATGTATGGAGTTATCAAAGATGAACTATTGTTAAACCTTCAACTAGTCTCAACTTCTTCTTTGGTTTTAATAATAAAATAGTGTTTTAGACAAATAATCATAATCTAGCTACATATTTGGCAACAGACTTTAGCATGTACAAAATCAGCACATTCATGATCAAGTTTAAATCTATAATAGGAAAACACCAATATCTATGTATTGGTTAGACTTTTAGTATTCGGATTTTGAATTGTGCAGTTCGGATTAAAGAGTTCTTACATTTCTTTTTTATTGATAATCCACATATGTTGTTGGATTAAGTTGGAATGTAAATCATTCTATTCTTGTTAGACAAGATTAATTAAATTATGTCATTTTCTATGTAGCATGTTTGTTTCGGTTTATTTTTCCACATATATAATTCCCACGTCAGTTGTTTATTTGTTTTTTTTTTTGCGCAACAATTGTTTTGTTACTAAATGTCTATTTACAGTAATAAGTTGGCAATTAACTGGAAAACAAACTTAACTATGATTCGTAATTCTTCTTGGAGTTCACTTGGAACAATTTCAGAATTGTAGATATCGTAATAGTTGGTAAGAGTAAGAAAGGGATGAACTAGTGAATGAACTGGCAGGAATTGTTTGGCATCCTGATTTGATACTTAATTAGAATGACAGATTGACTTTTTTTTTGTCGGTAGTATAAAAATATACATAGGACTTAGTTTACCATCCTCATTCTTGCTTATTAGAAGCATAACGCGCAGCTCTAGCTCTTGTATTCTTGATTTATTTTTTTAAAATTCGCATTCTTACTTAGAGATCACAGGATCGAGTGTTGTTTGGGACGAAACTTAGAATGACAGATTGTCTTTTTTTGGCCGGTAGTATAAAATTATACATAGAATTTGTTTACCATTCTCATTCTTACTTATTAGAAGCAGAACTCGCAACTCTAGTTCTTGTATTCTTGAAACTTAAAAAAAAACTTGCATTCTTTCTTAGAGGTCACAAGATCAAGTGCTATTTGGAACGGAACCAATATTATATGCTGTAGTTTCGGGCCTGGGGAATATACGGACTTCGGCCTATAACCTTTTAGTATTTACAAAGAAAAAAGAAAAAAAAGTATTAGTCATTTCTCTTTAGTTGAATGAAACTAGCCAAAAGTTGTTTTTCACTCTCTTTTAATTGTAGCCTAATCAAGCATTCAAGCCAGATCCTCTTTTTTTAAATGTTGGTATTAATAAAGAAGTACAAAATGTTAGCTAACATAAAAATACCTCACGCGTGATAAATCCCCAAAATAAATAGCGGTACAAACATAAATATTTTAAGCATCAAGAATAACAAAAAGAGATTGTTTAACAATTTTACTAACTGTTACCCAACCTTGAATGTTCCGGATAAACATTTTTAATTGCTCTAGGGGAAAAAAAAAAGGAAAATGTTGAAATACGTATAATGAGGACAACTTAGGATGTACGAACATACGTATACGTGTGAAATGATATAAAATAATATAGTACAAAAATTAAAGAAGTGTGTCTAACAACAAAAGGAGCATGATCAACGCCGAGGAAATCCAGTTTTATATAAACCAAAATTCCGTACTTACCATAAACGTACTTTCTTCAAAACCCACTCCTCAGAACATTTCAAATCATTCACAAATACAATCACCATGGACGAACAAGAGCAAGACGTCCTCTCGAGCTTACCACTAGAGCTTCTCCTTCACATCATAAGCTTCCTCCCTTTCGAATCCGCAAGACTAACCCCTTTCGTCTCCACACGGTTTAGGTCCGTTTGGAGCCAAGCCTTACTCGTCGCTCACAGCCACAACGGATCCACCGAAGACATCTCTCACGGCGTCTCTCGCTTCATCAACAACTTCGACGAGCACAACCCTTCTAAAAACACTCGGAAGCTGGAGTTACACTTTGACAAGTCAAACTTCGTATCAACGATTCTCGCACCTCACAACGTCATGCATATGAGCTTCTTCTCTGGTGTAACCAAGAAAGAAGAGAGCTTTTGCTGGCGTCTTGAGGTCAACGATCTTATCCCACGACTCGTCAACTCAAGCGGTTTCTTGGTGAAGACGCTTTGTTTAGATTCGGTGGATTCGTTAACCCACGAGATTGTTTCTTCCATGGTTTTGGATTTTGCTTTCCTTGAGAATCTCAAGATTTGTGGTTGCAATGGGTTGACTTCTCTTACTATTGATTCTCCAACTAAGCTTCTTCACTTATCGATCTCGGGTTGCACGCAGCTGACATATCTCGAGATCAGATCATGTAAGCTCAAAACTCTTCATTACCAAGGATCTCTACCGTTGATCAAGATCCATGAACATTTCAACTTGACCAATGCGATTTTCGACGTAAGACAAGGCCCAAGCTATTACAACAATGATTTAGACATTGGTCCTCTCTTGCTTATCATCAAGAACTCTCAATCTCTAACACTCAGCAGATGGATGTTCGAGGTAAAAAAGATAATCTCTATTTTTTTATTTTACGATTCTAATAGCGAGTTTGTGGAAATACGTTTTTACCATATTTGTATCATATTCCTAAATTAAGACATGTTTTAGACTAGTTTATATATAATTTTTTTTTGTTTATAGGAATTAATCAAACCGTCCATATCCTCTTCTTGGACATCATTTCAATTCTACAAATTACAAGAATTGCGGTGGATCGATAACGCAATGAACCAAGAAAACATTACGTTCTTGATCTCTTTTCTCAAACTTTGTCCTTCAGTAGAGCGCCTCTTCATTACTGTAAGTGTTAAACACCCAAATCCTTTTGTTAAAATATCATGTCTCTTAAGTTCTTCGTGCTAATAACATCTCTGACTATTTTAAAGGTCGATTCGAACACTTATAGTTCAAAACAAGAAATTAGTGTTGCTGATGACCATGCGAGCAAGCAGACAAGGTCAGTTCTAAGGAACCTAGAGTTGGTGAAACTGGAAGGATCCAAGAACAAAGAAGATAATAATCAACTGATATTGGTTCTACAAGAGATGGTAGAAATCGATCAGCCTCTGCTTGTACTGTTTTCGCTTTGTTGAGATCGACTCCGATTTGGATTTGAATGACGATGAAAAAAGATTTATGTTTAAAGATACACGTATGAACATGCTTTGATTAATTTGCTGTTATGTTTACGCGTGTGTTCCTATTTCTTGCTGTACAAGAAATCCTCGTAAAAACAAAACCAAATTTGGCTTCGTCACGATTCACCGATTCATTTTTTCTTTGACCTGTATATTATTCTAACATTTATTACTAGGATAAGGAATGACGTAAATAAACATATGGTTTCGCAAGTCATAGTCAATGTGACTTTGATTTGCCGTATATGTTTCTGCCGTATTTTGTTTTGTCCTTAATTCTGTCTTCACTTTATGATTAATTGTATAGGATTTTTGGGCTTATATTAAGATTTTTAAGTTTTTTAATAATTCTAACAATTAATAAACAAATAAACACTCTAGACAAAAAGAAAGTACTCAGAGTCATTTTGTTCTCTCTAGATTTACTGTTAAGGAGTTCATCCGCGACAACTATATATATGTATGATAGTAAATTAGTAATAAAAATAATGAATAATTGATTCTCGTACACTTGCAAGTTTATAAACCTATAATAGCCAAATATTTAGTTTAGGTGAAATATCGTTTTAAAAAGCATGTATGTGTCAATTTTGTTTGACCTGTTCAACAAAAGCATGTATATCGAAACTTCCTATGTAAAGTGTAAACCAAAGAAAAGCGTGGCATCACAATCGATAAGCCAACTAAAACCAATTTACTTACATAATCAATCTTTTGATCGTTGGACTTAGATCAGAAACCAGTTGTCATGAAAAAAAAAAATATCCTTTTTAAAGTTGCCTAAGCACAAGTTACCGCGAAATACTCCAATTTTTCCTAGTGGCAAAAGAAACTAGTCTCACTTGACGGAAATTGCTAGCAATGATTCATAACTGGATATATAGAGACATTAAGATGAATGAAGTATCTATCATGTTTTTTTTGGTTGTTAGAGAAATGTATCATGTTTTTGAGGAAGAACATTATGAACATACGGAACGAGAGTAGCCGCAATCAAAATATGTTTAGAACGAAGAAAAACACATATATAGTAGAACCTCTATAAAGTAATACTCGATAAAGTAATAATCACGATAAAGTAATAAATTTCTCCGGTCCCAACTCGGGCCAGTGTAAAAATAAGCAAAATGCGATAAGATGATAAGATAATAATATTTTTGAAACTCCTATGTAAAAATATGGTCCCAATAATGAGTTAAAGTAATAATTATATTAAATATACATATATGTCTAAGAAGGTTGACAAAAAAAATATATGTCTAAGGAAAATTTATGAAACTATGACTTAAAGTTTATCTTTAACTTTTTATTATATAAAAAACTCATAATGAATTTTTTTATATGCATCTAAAATTGTTAAATATGTTTAAAAATATTATTTTCAACTTCATTAATAGCTATATTTTTCTAATCTTTTATTTTAATTTTTATCGTGTATCAAATTTTATAGAATTTTTTAAATAAGCTAATAATATATATTTTATTACGATATCCAAAAGATTTGATCATAATATCAAGTTTATGTATGATATATTAACAAATAAGTTCTTCTAAATTCTTAATACATTATCGTATGAAGAATAATTTTCGAAGATTATGAATTAAAAAATATATTTTTATAAATTAATAAATACTTTATTTATTCATAAAGTAATATCTCTATAAGATAATAAAATTTCAAAGTCCCAACATTATTACTTTATAGAGGTTTTACTGTATTCGGTTTCGGTGAATGGTATGTGACACTGAATAGTAATACATAACGAATATGTGAATACGTGAACAAAAACATCAATCTAACAAAATGTATTTTGGGCCTATAAAGGCCCGACCTTAAGCAAATTTCGTAGCCATTTGTAGCTTTTATTTTTCCTACGTTTCATTTTCACTTTTATTTGTTTTTGTTAGAATTTGGGAAGAAAAAAAGAAAAAGATCAAAAAAATGATCATCACTCTTTGAGTGTCAAAAACTGTCTAACACTTCATCTGTCTATGAAGCTCAAATAGCATCCATGGACGCAATCAAATGCAACTCCAGTTTCCTCCATCGCACCAAGCTCAACACTCTCTACTCTAATCACAACTTCCCTAAACTCCGCGCGCCCAATTTCAATCACCTCTTCCGGCCAGCTGCGCAGCAGCCACTGTCGCTTTCCGCCAAGGACAGAAGAAGAAGCAGCGAAGCTGAAAATGTCGCCGTAGTGGAAAAACCTCCTAAATCAGAGAGATTCCTTCTCTCCGATGGACTTCCTTCCCCATTCGGCGCCACCGTGAGAGACAACGGAGTCAATTTCTCTGTTTACTCTGCAAACTCCGTTTCCGCCACCATCTGCTTGTTTTCTCTCTCCGATCTTCGTCAGGTTAGCTTTCAATTGAGTGTTTCCCTAATTCGATTCAATCGACATTTTTGCTGAAACCCCTTTCTCTGTGGGTTTGATTTTCACGTTGCAGAACAAAGTGACGGAGGAGATTCAGCTCGATCCATCAACGAATAGAACAGGCCATGTCTGGCATGTGTTCTTGAAAGGTGATTTCAAAGATATGTTGTATGGTTACAGATTTGATGGGAAGTTTTCTCCTGAAGAAGGTCACTATTATGACTCCTCCAATATTTTATTGGATCCTTACGCAAAGGTAATTGCAAAAAATTGAAGCTTTATGATTAAATACATAGAGCAGCTGTGAAGAAAATGGATGTAACTGTTTCCTTTTGGTTTTGGTAGGCAATTATAAGCAGAGATGAGTTTGGGGTTTTGGGACCTGATGAAGTCTGTTGGCCTCAAATGGCGTGTATGGTGCCCACTCTTGACGAAGAGGTACCTATGATATTGTTTTGTTAGAGCTAGATCAGTTACTTGTTTAGTAAAATTTTACATTTGGTGTTGTGATGCCTTTGATGCTATTCAGTTTGATTGGGAAGGGGATATGCATCCGAGGCTTTCACAGAAGGACCTTGTCATATATGAAATGCATGTGCGAGGTTTCACAAGGCATGAGTCTAGCAAAATTGAGTTTCCTGGCACATACCAGGGTGTTGCAGAGAAGCTTGACCATTTGCAGGTACTGGCTTTATCAAAACTGAGCCCTTATCTAAATGAAAATATTATCAAGTAGAGATTGGGATGAGAGGAGCTTGGGATAAATTGTTTACATATTGACAGGAGCTTGGGATAAATTGCATAGAGTTAATGCCATGTCACGAGTTTAATGAGCTGGAGTATTACAGCTACAATGAGATATTGGGAGATCATAGGTTGTCTCACACGAAACCATATCAACTTTAACTTTCACAAAGAAATCAGCTAAATGTTGTGTATATAGCATGACTAATAATGTTGTGTTGCTTGTTGCAGGGTTAATTTTTGGGGTTACTCTACCATTGGGTTCTTCTCGCCAATGATCAGATACTCATCAGCAAGCTCTCAGAACTTTGCTGGGAGAGCCATAAATGAGTTTAAAGTTCTTGTTAAAGAGGCACATAAACGAGGAATTGAGGTGACAACTAGTTTCCAGGTCTCTAAATATTTGCTGCTAAGGTTTTCGGATGCAGTTGCTGATAGATTATTGTAAGCAGGTTATCATGGATGTCGTTTTGAACCACACAGCCGAAGGCAATGAAAAAGGACCCATTGTCTCATTTAGAGGAGTTGATAACAGTGTGTATTACATGCTTGCTCCAAAGGTAAATGCTCATCAAGCAGTCAATATGTTTCTTTTTTTAGAGTTTCACTGCTTAGGGAACATATGTAGGGATAGGAATCTGAAATTAAGGGCGTGGGTAAGTGCTCTGAGTGCTCTGCGGAGCAATAATTATTTCTAGAGCACCAGTGTTAAACCAATCATGCTTTGATTTCATTTTTTAAGTTCAGAGCAATAATTTTAAATATGAAAATATTTTGGCTCTGTAGAGAAGATTTTTCAGAGCACAAATTTAAGGGCTCTGAGAATTCTCTCTCTTCTCATTCCTTAATCTCATTTTCTATATTCCTTTTTTAATGTTTCTTTCCTATATCTCTTTTATTTATTTTTAATGTTACATTTATGATATTTGATAAGAAATTATTTATAATAAAAAATTCTACAGCAAAAAAATCTACATCCACAGCAAAAAAATCTATGGCCTAACTTCTACAGCAAAAAATCCAAAGCTACAGACGCAACCAATCAGGCCCTAAGACTCTTTTTTTTCTCCTCTGCCTGTTAAAACATAAACTACATTCAATAAAGTCAATTTACTGATTGAAAATTCTGGTAATCGGTTGGTCAGTAACTTATTATACATCAGAAGCCTGTAGGAACGTTCTCTTTTGTTTTCTGCATGACTTTACATAACTCTGCTAGGTCGAGCAAAGTAGAATATATTCCACCGATAATGGTTTTGGTTTATTTGTTTGTAGTCTCATAATGATGTTTCTGATATGATTCTTTAGTAATGAATCTAAATTTTATGCATGTTTTGTGACTTAACAGGGCGAGTTCTATAATTACTCAGGATGTGGTAACACATTCAACTGCAATCATCCTTGTGGTGCGTCAATTCATAGTGGACTGCCGAGGGAGGGCAATGAGTGACTCACCAATATGGGCAGTGGGGGGAGTTGAATAATCTCTCCAAACCATTGACTATACAACATAACAAAAAACAAACAAAAAACAGAACACATTACACTTTCTTTAGAACACTCCCTTTCTTTCAAAGTTTATATGTCTCTCGTAATAACTCTTTTTCTTCTTCCATAGAGTTGCGTAGGCGATCGCCGAAAATTCTTGCAATGCTATTTGCTTGAAGTATCTCCAAACCGTAGAGGATCCTCCACCGACTTTAATTCAATTAAAATTCCTTCAGTAAATGTTGCTAACTAAGTATTTTTGGTGAGCAGGTTAAGCAAATTGGGTTGGTGAGAGCATTGAAGCAGTAAAGATGTGGAAGAGAGTAGGATGGGGTGTGATGGCCAACCACACAAGTGGTGAAACCGAGGACACCTTCATCGCTGTTGACTTGTCCACTATAAGTTTTGAACCATTTAAAAACCTGTGAGCTATTATTATCCCTTGTATTAATTATCGGAATGATTCTCATTTGTCCCTCTCTCTCTACAGGGACAACTTAAGACCGGAACTCCATGCAGATCTGAGCGTCTTGCCAAGTACAACCAGCTTTTGCATATGGAGGCCGTTTACGCTGGACTCAACTTCCGCAAACCTGTGGAGCCTTACTAGATCCATGTCGTCATCTTCTTTGTCACGAGAATTTGAGTTCTGTTCACTTAAATAATAAAACGATCATCTCTCTTTGGTGGTATTTGCTTTGATTGTTGAGCCCTTTTAGTGGGTCAAGCCATTCAGTTTTGTAAGAGATACTGAATTTGCTCTGCTTGCCTTTATTGAGGACACGTAGCAGTTCTTTTATAAAGTCTAATTTCGGCTTTACTCTTTACATTTCTTGTAGAATCTCCATGGTTCTATGTTATTGCTATTGCTTCAAAAGCCTTTGTCTTTTCAAATAGAAAAAGCACGTTTGAATAATTGTTTTAGAGAGATCAATTCGAAAATATCAATTGGCAGTGATGGGGAGATCAAAGCTTGCATTATCAGAAGATGATGACTAGAAGCACACTCGAACAAATTTTGGATCGAAAAAAATGAAAATTCTGGGATCGTGATTTTGGGCTTTTAATAAGTCCGATTTAGTAATCATGGACCTAACTGATTGGGTTTTTGTTCTGTCGGTATATATGTATTATATTATCCACCTCTACCGGCGGAAGAAAAATATAATCACCACAGAAAAAGGAGATTGTTCTTTTTGGTTTTCGTCTTTATAAGGTTAACCCAAGGATTGGGTTTTGTCTTTGTCGAAATTGAATCCTTTTTCTGCGTCTTCAATCGTGTTATCGGCGTCTTCAATCGTGTTATCGGGAGGCGGAAGAAATCTGTAATCAGACAGATCGAGGAAAAGTAAGGTGTTGTGTCTCTAGATCGAGGAAAAGTAAGGTGTTGTGTCTCTATCTTTGTCTCTATCTTGTTTTGAAGGTTAGCCTAAGGGATTACAAGAGAAAAAAAACTAACTAAAATCGTTCCTTGTAAGATAAGATGAAGAAGAAAACGATGTTGAATCTTCCTAGGGATTTGTCAGAGGAGGTGCTGTGTAGAATTCCTTTGACAGGTCTGAGAAAAGTCCGATCTACTTGCAGAAAGTGGAACACTTTATCCAAAAACACCTTCTTTGCAAAGAAGCATCTTGCTCAGGATGCAGAAGCAGCCAAGGAGGAGTTGATGGTGGTGGTGATGGATTATAGCCTTTATCTGATGGGAGTGAATCTTTCCGACAAGGAATCATGTATAAAGCGACAGAGCAAACTTATTTGCCCCGAAATCGAAGTGTTCCAAGTGTTTCATTGCGACGGTCTATTGCTATGCGTGTCTAAAGACCACACGAAGCTGGTGGTTTGGAACCCGTATTGCGGGAAGCCCCTGTGGATCGAGCAAGGCATAAACCTCGGTTTTTGGTATGCCCTGGGATACGACAAGCAGCGAATCCCACAAAATCTTGAGATTTACCGCAAAGATTTCACAATCTACGACTTACAACAACAACAACTCTGATTCATGGAGGGTTCTTGATATCACTCCAGCTGGGGGTGAACTTATCAATCTAGCGTGACTCTCGATGGGAATGCCTACTGGCTTGCTACAGCTGCGGTTTCAGGAGATTGCTGCTTAGTCTGTTTTGATTTCACAAGAGAGACATTTGGGCCGCTGTTGCCTCTGCCTTTCGAGCATTTCCCTCAAGATGGAGATACTGTGAGTCTATCTGTCTGTGGAGGAGGAGGAGGGAAGAAGCTGGCGGTTTTGTTTCAGCCATGGGACACTTTGAAGGTGGAGATATGGGTTACGAGCAAGATTGAGCCCTGACGCTGTGACGTGGGAAAGCAAGGTGTTCTTGAAGTGAGTTTGAAAAAATCCATTCACCCTCAGTTTCAGTTTATGGTACAGGTGGTAGTTTCTTGATTGACGAGGAGAGGAAACTCGCTATTGTTTTTGATAAAGAAGACGATCTCGATATACACCCTGCTCGCAACCTAGCTTACATCATTGGAGTCGATGGGTTCTTTAAGAAAGTTGATCTTGGAGAATCTGCTCACGAGCGAATCCTCCACTTGCGTGCTCTTATCTTCCAAGTTTGATCCAACCTAATTAGACTTCACTTCACTTGTTTTGCTTGTTTGTTTTCTCTTTTTCTTTTTTTTTTTTTTTTTTTTTTTTTTTTTTGTTTTTTTGTTCAAATTTGTTTTCTCTTCTTTGAGTCAATAAATTATGTATTGATTTTTTGTTTCAGTCGTTTCTTTTCGTTTGCCATGTTGCCACTTGGTTTGTTTCAGTCGTTTCTTTTGGTTGCTCAATAATTTTTCAAAGTCATATTGACCAGCAGTTAAACTTCAAAAACATTGATCTTTCTAAATTAGGATCCTATGCCTTATGCAAGTTCTCTCACTTGAACTAAGCTAATAGATACAATCATTCTTATTTGGTGTAGTGTAACCGTGTAACCATTCTTCTATGAAATTGTTGGCATTTTTGTTGAGTTGTGCGGAGTGCTATATGGTAGATCCTGGGGTACACGCTTACGCTGCAATGGCATTGCTTGAATTGGCCAAACATCTCGACTCGGCATTGTATTACAGGAAAGCCAAGAAAGCTGCGGAATCGAATTTGTCATTTCTTGCTTCTTTTGATCGGTTGAGTCTGGACGAGGAAGATACAAAACGCACACTCGAGAGCGTACTCCAAGTGGCAGAGTCAAAGATCCTACTTGGTGTTACTGGTAAAATCTCTGAGCCAAACGTTAGGGAGGCAGAGAATGTTCGAGTTGTGGATGCTGTTGCAGGCAAAAGACTGAAGTCGTATTGGGCTGGTATGGGTGCTGAGAGTAAGAAGAAGTTTCTGAGAGTAAGCATCGCAGAGCTTACAAGTTATGTTGAGGGATTGTTTGGTAGAGAAGGAGAAGAAGAGTGGGAGCAAGTTCTTGATTCTGCAAGGAGGAACAAGAAGTGGAGATTCTGGATGTGCCGAACTTGTTCGCTTAAGTTCTTTCATCACAAGAAGTTTAAGAACCATCTCGAGCAAGCACATGCCGCGAAGTTTAAACCTTCAACGACGAAGCATATGGCTCAGAGGGTGGATGAAGTGTGGGCTGGTATGCTATCATCGGCTGCAGCAGAATGGGAACCAGTTGATACAGTAGCTGCTGGTGAGATGATCAAGACTCGGCTCGAGCTTGTGAAAGCGTTTGTGTATGAGAATGGATGGTCCAGAGACTGGCCTTTAGCTGCAGATGGAGAGCGCAGGAAGCTGCTCAAGCAAATCCAGTTGCTTCTTGTGTTGCTTCGAGAGCGGAAGATTCTTTCTTGTGGCGTTCGAGACTGGATGATGCTTTTTGTGATCATGTAATCGTCAAGCTAAACCTATTCGATTTATCAACGATTCCCAACATTACTAGTAATTGGTATTTTTTGTTATAGATCTAAAAAGTAAAAACTAACCCATAACATTATTTGTGGTTGAAAACAATTTTTTTTATTTATGTATGCTGACCAATCAATTTGTTTTTTTGTTTACACTATCAACACGACTAGGGGATTACCCACGCCTTATTAACTTTAAAAAAATTCATATTCAAAATAAATTATTATTGAATGGATATGTCATTTTCTATATTATTTTTATATTGATATCTATTTTATTTCTTTATCGATCTATATAAATACTTCTAATATTATATTTTTTTTTGTTTTTGAATAATGGATAAATATTTGGTTATTTATTTATGTGTATTATTATATGTAAGTTGTTTCCTATTTTCAACATATGTTAATTATGTGATTTGTTCAAAAGATTATAATTTAACTAAATCTAAAAGACCTTTAGAAATATTGCTGATAAAATTTAGTCAAGGTAAATTTATATTAAGAAAAGCAAATAGCAATATCCACTACATATTTCACTTCAAATACATGTAGATTTTTTTTTTTAAAAGTTTCAATGCAAAATATTATTATGCTAATTTTCACCAAACTTTAAGTCTGTAAATTTCCCGCAAACATATTTAAAGTCGAAAAGTTATTTCCAAATGTTAGAAAACAATTTGTAAGACAAACTATTCTGCAATGTTCACGTCAAACAAAATCCGATTAACAAATTTTCCGCCGTAAATATGAATCAATAAATTTTTGTGTAAAATGTTCTAATAATGACAAATTAGTCTCCAAAGTTTCCCCCCAAAAAAAATCCCATCTGCAAACTTTTTTTATAATGTGAATCAGCAAACTATTTCCTAACAACTATAGTCGTTATAGTATTATGTTTTTTTAGTATGTTGGGATGTATTTGAACCACAAACTGGAAAGATCAGATTCGTTTAACTATTATGATATTCTCTTTCTCTGTTAATCGAAACTTTCAGCAACATTCACATTAGGCTTAATGTTGTTCTGAGTCTTCAATCGTTTGAGTAAGACTTTTCTAATTTGTATTTTAAGCTTTTTCTTTGAATTATGTAAGATTATGCATGAAATTGGCATGGGCAGATGAAAGAAACGGTGAACTTGGAAGCCTTGATCATGAAAAGAAATGTGATTTACTCTGGCTTCTTTATTTATGAAAAAAGAGTATGGATAGTTTAAGTTGCAATTAACTAAATGGTTCATTTTTAGGATTTAACATTGAACGTTTGATAAACATATTCAAAAAATGACAAATGTTCATGAACATGTCAGACTTTTGCATTGTAAATGATAAATTATTCCATAAAATTATGAATGAGCAACATTTTAATATTAAATAAAAATCACAAATAAAGGAATGAATAAAGTAAACCAAGAAAGATACCAAATGTATGAAATCAATCGTAAAGTTCAACAAAGCAATTTAATGGTAGGTATTGATACATATATATATATATATATATATATATATATATTGTTGTAAAAGGATACAGGTATTGATATATTGTTACACAGTATTATAGAAGAACAACAAATATATGTTTACAAATATTGCTGAATGAATATTACTCCTCCGACGACCATGGAAGATAACCAAACACAATAGGACCACAGTTTGTGCTGGGGTGCCAACCTAAATACTTGCATAGCTTGTGTTTGCAGGACTTGTTTTTCTCGGTGGAGCATCTCCCAAAATTCTTAGCTTGGCAAGACCTTGTTGTCGTTCGTGATTATAAAAGCAGTAGGCAAGTTTATCCTCATCGTCAACGTAGAAACTCACGTGCCTCGTGAAAAACGTGACGCATCCTCTGCTAAGTACTTGAACCAAGACACAGACGCGGTCTCACCAATCTCACTACTCATCCATATCTCCGTCTTTGATTTCGTTGCACTCTCATAGAACAAACAGAGACGGTCTTCCTTCACAACCGAGAGAGCCAGATTGTTCAAAGCTTCTTTGAGAACAAAAGGACCCAAACATTCTGCTTCGTGGAAGGGAAGGTAGTGATTCTGAAACCTCTCAGTTGAGAAGTCAAACTCGCAGCAGCGAGTACTCTTTGGCTCCTCCTCTTCTCGAGATCCAGTAAGCATTCCCTTTCAAAGACACGCCGAGAGACTCAAAGCTTCCACCGGGAGAGACGTCATCAAGAATTCCTCCATGAGTCGGACTTAAACTCGTAAATCTCCATCGTTTGATCCTCCAGAGACCTCAAGATCTTGTAGCTACGGCACAACTCCTTGTATCGTAACCAAGAGCGTAGCTTCTGTAGCTGCTCTGAAAGATCAATGGAGTTTAGGCCGTTTATATAGAAAATTAGAAATAATACAAAATAGTTTGATTTCAGGTTAAATCTAATTAGTTAAATATTTTATTTGGAGGACACGCAAGTCTACATAACTATAAGTCTTGGACATTCTTCAGCTGGCGACACGTGGCACCCTTTTTTTTTCCTCCCAACGCCAAAACGAAGTCGTTTTGCGTTGTAGTTTTTATTTTCCGTCTTACACCAAAACGACGTCATTTTATCTCTTCACTTTAACTACGTCGTTTTGTGTCCCTTACGTCGTTTTGAATTTTGTTTTTGTTTTTTTTTTTTTTAATAGTCGCCCAGTTTTTTGGAAACGGGGTTCTTGCCAATCCACACTGCACACTGACTAACTTCCGGCGAGACTGTCGGCTGCCCTTCCTCCGCCGTTACGACTTTCAATGTCGGCCATTAAATCCGCCGGTTACGCCTCTTCCCCTTCGATTGCCCACTTCCACTACAAAAACCTTGATGCACATATCCCATTTCTCTCATTTCCAAATCTGTTTGGAACCCGTACGAACCCCCAACCTCTCTCCTCGCTAAAACAATTGCTTCTCTTCGCCAACCTCGCCATCTCAAAATCGACGCAAATGGACACCTCTCAATCGATATCTAAGGTTAGCATCTCTTCCATCATGCTTTAACTCATTTAAGATATCTCTCTCCCTACTTTTTTTGCGTTTTTTTTGGTTGAGTTCAATCTTATTTTCACTGATTTCTTCTCCGGTGAGTATGGATATGAGTATCCAATTTAGCGACTTCTATCCTGATGAATTAAGATTTGTACTGTTTATTTTTGTCAACACTTAAGAATCCTTGTGCTTGAGTGTGAATTTAGAGCCTTTTGTGTTCTTACTCTAATGGGTTTTTAAATTTCATATTGAGGTTAGAAAGAGAAGAATGTATCACATGAAGTTTAAGCACCGAAGACTTCACCAGTGATGGGAGTGCCCCGACTGCTCCGGAGACGTTGATCCCGTCCCGGTTTCCGGAATCGCCCAAGTTGAATCCAAAGGCTCTGTCCTTGTCGCAGCGATCCGTGCGATCGAAGCCGCTGAGTCTTTGACTGAGGCGCAAAAAGCTAATAAGAAGCAGCAGTTGGTGAGCGGTATAAAGTCGTGTTGGTTACTGCACATTTGAGGTATTAACTCTTACCTCTTCACTCTCAAATTATTCCCTTTTTTGGCTACAAAATTTCATTTCTGCTCTGGGTTTTGATGTTTCCGTCGCCATTGAATGTCTTTTCTCGGTATAAAGTTTATTTTACACTGATTCGCTGTTATTGGGACATGTATAATGTGTTGGTTAGCCGCAATCTTTGCTCTATCCTTTAGCTTTGCAACGTTTGTAGGTCTGTTGACGACTGAGTGAGTGTCTTTGCCTTATCTTCCTCATGTTTCTTTTAAGAAGGGATTCCATTTAACCATCGCCTGAAATTTGCTTTTCAATGTGAACTTTTAACTCGAGCGAGAATTGTTGTGCATTGCTTGTTAACAACAACTCGAGGATTACTGTTTCATCCGCTTTTCTTTTGAGATTTTGATTTTTGTTGATTTATTAAATGCAGCAAAACAGTTTTGCAAATGGCGAATTCACGCTGAAGATACTGAAAAACAAAAAAGAGATTCAGATTAAGCAGCTGAGGAGGGAATTAGCTCAATTGCTCGAAGCTGGGCACAGCCCTACAGCTCGAATTCGGGTAAGCAATCTCATCTTTGGTTCTGCCAATAACCATATTTGGGATTCAGTTGGTTTCACTCATGTTGTTTGCTGATGAAATTTGTGAATGTGGTTAATGTTTCTCTCTTTCTCTCAGGTGGAACATGTGTTGAGGAAGAGAAGACAGTGGCTGCTTATGAGCTCATTGGAGCTCAAGGTTATTGTTTTAAAATTATTCTTTAGTTTTTGACTTTTTTTATCTTCATCTTCTCTTTAGTTTCGTTTGTGATTTATCTTTCTCGCTGTTTAGGTAATTTAAGAGTACATTCATGAGGACAGATTCGCTCCGGCTGATAACCCACTGCAACCGCCGAGGTTACAACAGCTACCAGCAGGTGCATCAGTGGGCGGAGGAGGAGAGGAAGAGAGGGAAGCAAGCCCAGACCAAGCTTCCAGCGAAAAGCTCGAAGGATGGTGCGTTACTGCGTTGATCCCATCTCTTTCTTGCTGTTTTCTGTCGCTGTCTCTTCGTTTTTATATTTTTTTCTTACTTAAAAATCCCTTCGTTTTTATATGTTTTTCTTACTCAAAAATCAATAATATGTCTCTATGTTTATAAACATCACAGCTGTCATGCTCATGGTTGTTTACGAGGATTGGTGCGTTGATCTCATTAATTTATCTCTTTCCATCTTTGTTTTTGGTCTCTTGTCTTTTATTTTCTCTTTTTTCAAATTGATATGTCATTCTGTTTTATAAACATCACATGCAGCGATGTCCGCTAATGGATCCATGCGGCCTATGGTGCGTTGATGCCATCTCTCTCTCTGGTCTCTTCATTATTATTTTGTTCTTAGTCCACAGTCAATATGTCTCACTCAGTTCATAAACATCACAGCTCTTGGGCTTTCGTCATCTTATTATTCACGGTGATGATCTTTCACTGTTGCTGCCATAATTGCTACGGAGCATAATGTTGTATGGGATGGGAGGCAAAATCTTTTATGAAACCAACACTGAGCTGTTGGTAAGTAATAACGTTTTTCGGTTGTTTCATCTATTTGCTAAACGTTAACCGTAACTTTTACTCTACTTGTTTTTTAGAGTGGAGCAAGCACGTTTCAGTCAACAAGTAGTGTAAACGTGGAACAACCTCCAAACGCACAAGCACCAGCTCCTGTAATATAAACAAATTCTATTACTTTTTGTATATGTTTGATATTTTTGTGTGTTTATACACTCTAATTTCTTTGTAAAATTTCATGAATAGGATTTGGTTAGATACCTTTACGATATAACCAATGCTAATTGCTTGATATTTCCACTCCGTTGCCCTATTTAAGAATAAGAGAAAGCATATGAATTGAGACAAAGCTTTTAGAGTGTTGAATCTTGGAAACAAATTCAACATACAGATGTTGCAAACATACTCAAATAAATCCAATTCAACATACAGATGTTACCATCACGTTTTGGTTTGTTTTTTCTTTGTGATATTTGTGTTGTTTGTGTTTATATAAATTTTAAAAAATTTGAAAACAAAAAAAAAAAATTCTAAAGAACTCCAAAATGGCTTCTGCAATATGGAACTAAAATTTTAAAATTCACAAAAAAACTGTAAACTAATATTTTTACCAATAAGAATTGCTAAAAAGCTCCATTTGGAGTTCTCCAATGTGGGTGCTCTAACTTGTTAACTTCATATTATAAATAAATTGACTCTTATATTATTTCAAAAGAAGCAAACTTTTATTCAAAAAAATTAACTTTTCCTCCATATACAAAGTGATATTTAAAGAAAACAAAATAATATAATATCAGGAATAATAATAATTTTTCAGAAATATAAACCCGCGCATTGCGCGGGTGCTCTCCTAGTTATAGAGTAAATACATTAATTTCAGCCTATTATTATGCTCTATTACGGATATTGGTTGTATTTAAATATAGTAAGAATTCCTTATTGTGCTTATGTACTACTATCATCGAAGATATTATGAACTAACCAAGCACGAAAATCTTAACTACTTAAATGCAATAATAAAACAGGCAATTAATACGGTGATTTGTTTCCTTTTGATTTTTTGATTGAAGATCTAAAATATTGGGGTTTTTTTCTAATGTAAACGGGTCATTTATGGAGAAATGTTTGGCAATAGAGTTAGCAATTTTCTTTAAAAAATAAATAAAAAACATCCAAAAAATTGTGGAACCCTTTCTTCCTTTGCACGCCAAAACAAATGATCCACGTTTCTGTAAAGAGCGTCACATGGGAATATATCTGGTTGTGTTGGGAAATCAGATATACCCCACACTTGCATCGCCATTGGGCATTGAAAGAGAAGGTGGTTAACTGTTTCCGGTGCTGCTTCACATCGAGGGCAAGTACGTTCCGTACCACAATGTCGATCCACTAGAGCATTTCGGACCGGCAGACATCCAGCGATAGATTGCCACATAAAATGTTTTATCTTCCTGGACGTTTTAGTCGTCCATACTCTGTTTTTCAGTGGGTTAATGCTTGGTTCCATCACTTGTGGAGGTTCACTCTCTTCCAAGAAGAAACTTGATTTAATTTGGTATATTTGAACTTACAAAATCTGAAAATGGTCAAATTGTAAAATGTTACACTATCTCTACATAATTTTATTTCTAAATAGAGGGAGAGACAAAGGTCCACATTGTACAATGACTCAGCAAAACACATTACATGACAACCTCCCAAACGCCATCAAACTGCATCTTGTTTGAAGTTTCCGAGCATACTATTACTACCGAGTGTCGCCTAGTGGAAAGACCTCAGAGTATCTGCTTTCTGGATGTCGTAAGCTCAATCAGATTATAGACCTTCTCAAGTTCATCAAGTATCTGCTTTCTGCATATGTGGGAGCCAAATATGCAAAGAAGTTGAGTATCTTAGGTTATGATGCAGGTCTTATTGACGCCATAAACCTATGTGTATGCGAAGATAAAAGGAGAAGCGATATCCCGGAACATCAGTGGAACAAATATGCATCTCTTCTAGGCGATGAGTGCGAAGAGCGTTTAACAGAAGACTCTGAAGGTTCTCTTAAACACGCCTATTCTTGTGTGCAGTGCGAGATGTTCTTGAAGGAGCAGCGCATCCGGCATTTGATTTCGCCGATCTAGAAGACTGCCTGAAACTCATGGACTCAAAAATCTCAGTGTGATAATATAGTGTTGGAGCGCATACACCTTCTGAGATCAGTGGTTGGCGACAAGGTTCATTACTGATCTGAGTTTTTTGTATTAATAACATACTTGAATTGTTATCGTTAAGTATATGTTTAATACCTTGCAGGTTCCGCTAGCTGATTCAAAGATTTTACTTGTGAAAATTCAAGGATTAATTTGTTAAATGACCTCATCAGGTTTTCTGTTTCTGACCACCGGCCTTATATCCTTCATCTGTTGAAATCTTTCTTACGGGTTAGTTTGAAACTTTAGCTTTATAGAGAGAGCTTTCATTTTGCCTCTGATATTCTCTTTGACATGTAGCTTATGTTACAAGTTATGTCTCTTCTTCTACTTCTAGGACAAGTTAGTTGAAATTGTAGCTGCAGCAGAAGCAGCAGATCTTTTATCCCTGGAAAAACAAGAGAAGGAGGAGAAAAATAAACATAGAAACAAGAAGGTTGTTGAAGATCAAAATTCTCTATTTGCTTCTCTGACTTTTCGGTTACTCAGCTGTAAGAATGAATGGTCTCCATTGCGTAACAGAGAACTTCAACGAGCCTGTCTAGTCTTCCTGATCAGAATGTCAAACAGTACGCATCTCTTCTTTGATTGGTTTTTCAAGAGTCTTTTCAGAGGTTGGTATACTGTTTCCCGATTTTCTCTGAACTGAACGTGTTTTTACATGTCCAATGAAAATTCTGCCAGCCTTGAACAAGAAGGTACATATCCATCACTAGAATCAGCGGAAGAAGATGCTGTGGAACCAAAATCTACTTTTTCAAGTGAAACGGACAATCAAGAGGAAGCTGCTAAAGGTGACCCTGGCTGTAAAATAGATTCTCAATCAATGAATATGCTAAACTACTTTGTTTTGTGATACTGATACATAGTTATTATTTCTTTCATTTGCCATCTTCAAGATATGCGAAACATGCCTAGAGAAGATTCAACACTTGAAGAAGGTCCAGCCGTATGCAATTTAGCTCTTGGTATGACGCTGAAGGTAAGGGGCCAACAAATAAAACATAAAATCTCTTCTACTGATTCAGCTCATATTTTATCTCTTTACTTCCTTATTTTCTTTGACAAATTGTGTTACTTCAGGCCCTCTGTAACATTAAGGTTCTTAAAGAGTATTTGGTGCACAATCGGCATCGGTTTCCTGAAAACGTGGAAGAACAAGTCCCTTTTGCACTACAAAATTTCTTTACTGCTTTTGTCTCGAAGCAGATAAAAGAAGAGGGACTCTACAGATACCTCCTTGGCAACTTACTTGCTTCCTTAGAAGAAGCTCATTTCATGGTTTGTGCGGATAAATATATGCTTCTAAGTTCCTTGATTTTGTTGTCTCAAATGTCATTCTGTTTTGTTTTTTTAACTCTTTTCAGTCAAGTAATGCTGTTGAGCTACTCGTATCCATCCTTGAGTTCTGGCCTTGCTGGAAAACTCCAGAAATAGAAAGCGGGGTAACTCATCTTCTTACACTGGAAGAATATGAAAGAATGAGTTGTAGCAAATGCAGAAAGACGCCAAATTATCCTGATCAGCGTTATTATGGTGTTGTTATGGCTGCAGATTCAATCAGACACTTGAAGGTATGTTTTCATATATTTCCCACTCTGTCTATCCTACAGAAACTGGTAAATAATACCCATTTTGAGAAGTTGTTATGTGGTTATATATATGCAGTGTGCCTTTTGGGGATATAAAGTTTGAGGACATCCTTAAGGTGATTCTCATGGAAGAGAAAATGTTATGTGACATAAAAACTGGAGGCTGTGGAAAGGAAAACTTGGTTCATCACATGATAAGTACATGCCCTCCCATCTTCACAATCGGTAAGTGTCTGACCATGATTGTGATCATATCCAATTCATATAATTTCTTATTTATGCACTATGATAAAAAGAAAGAGTTTGTGTTTTTTTGTGGGGTTTGCAACATTAGTGTTGGAATGGTAGAAGGATGAAACTGAAGAGGAAATATCTGAAACAACGAATGCATTGGAGTGGGAGATAGATATGAGCCGGCTATATGAAGGCTTGCAACCAAACACAAAGTACCGGCTTGTGTCAATGGTAAAATCTTGAAACATGGTTACAAAATGTTTGTGCTAAATTGTTCTGCAGAGTATTTCTCTGTTACAGTCTCAGAATTTGGGGTTGCAGGTTGGTTGTGGTGAAGACGAAGAACACATTTGCATGGCTTTTAAAAAGAACCGGTGGGTCAATTTCAGACATGGAGCTTTAGCAAAAATGGTGAGGAGAAAAAATTTCTTGAAACTTTTGATGGGTGATCCCATCATAGGCTGGTAGCTGGAAGAGTGTGGTCAGCTTCTGCGGAGAAAGGAAGATTCGGCCACAGATTCTGTTTTATGAAGCTAACAAGTTACCGAAATGTACAAATATGGCAACCGAGCATTGATGTATATTACAGTGGTTCGAAACAAGTTTGCGTACATTGTGAAAATACAACAGTTAACATAACACGGAGGATCCAAATTTGAGCAGTGTCTCGTTCGCTCAGAGTCTTAGGGTTGTAACTGACACATCAACATAGAGCTTTCTTAACTCTTTAAAAACCTTTATCTAGAATTTGCCTGTATTTGATTTCTCCTAAGTAACCAAAAGCAGAACAATTCAGGAAGTCAGTGAACAAAGTAGAAAATGTATGTGATTTGTGTAAATGAGTTATTGATCAATGACTACAATATGTCTCTCTACATTATCTTTTATACACATCAAACTCCATGATCTCATTTCTCACTGTAATCCAAAACCATCATTATAGGTAAGACTTGGAAGCTTGAACAGACGCTTGCTTTGCCTATTCCACTGGCCTGTTAACACATCCGTATGATTACCAATAACTCCAACTACTCGGTGTTCTCCTTCTAACTCTTCTTCCTTCTGTCTAGCATCATTTTCCCTGCGTTTTAGAGAATACAAGTTACTCAATAAGCTCTGTTTTTGTTTTGTTTTGACTTGTGAATGAATTTAGTAGTTTTAGAGGAAAAAATTGGTTTTCTTTTTCATTTTTGTTCTCAAATTATTGCAGATTTTTATGAAAATTGTGCTCTTAATATTTTCTTTACCTTTTACAGTAGAAACTCTATAAATTAATACTCGATAAATTAATAAACACGATAAATTAATAAATTTCTCTGGTCCCGAGTTGGGCCGGTGTAAAATATGACACAATTCGATAAGATAATAAGATAATAACTTTTTTTGAAATCCTATGTAAAATATGGTCCCAATAATATCATAAATTAATAATTATTTTTATTTTAATATATATACACCTAAAATATCTAACTACTAAAATATGAATCTCTCAGACACCAAACATATATGGAAATTAAAAGCAAAAAAGAAATTTTAAATAATATGGCAAGTATGAGAAAATGTAAACAATAAAGTAAATATAGAAACATGTGAAAATAATTAAGAAAATATAAAATAATTATTCTTTTTTTTTGAAAATATTTTTAGTCAAAATCTATATATTAATAACTCTATAAATTAATAAAATATCAAAGTCCCGACATTATTAATTTATAGAGTTTCTACTGTAGTATATACCTAAAATTTTGCTATGTAAGTAAATAATATATTAGTAATTATCTTAATTTGTTAGATAATATATATTCTCATAAGAATTCCAAAAATCTTTACTCAGATCAAGAATTCTGGAAATTTCTACACGATTAAAATGGTGTATAGTTAGGAATAATTTAGAAATAATAGAAAAAACACTCTCGATCATAAGTATTGTTTGACCAAGCTTGTGTATACAAGCGTTGCACCCGTCTTAAAGAGCCACCGCTAATGAGCTATTGAAGCATCCTTCTGTTTCTGTTTCCCAAAGAGTGGTGATCAATGTTTCACCACAGCTAGAAACGACGCTTTCGTGTCCTTCTTTCCTAAGGTTTCCTTCGGTTATAAGGAATAATGTGATGAAAAAAAGTCAAGGAAGACCGATGATGATGATGATTCCAAGACTTAGAGATTTGATCTGCTAAGAGCTTTTTGCTTCAGAAGTGAACAATTTAATGGTTTTGACTTGAGACGATTCACTCTTCTTAAACTCATTTTCATTAAATCTCTTGTTTTAGATTTTGTAGATTTGTGAATATACCCTAAAAAAAGAGAACTCTTGTCTCTTTACACCTTTTTTGAAATTTACCAATTTTTGACTATAATATCCTTGTATATGCTAACAATATGAAATAAATATTTTTAAAATTTCAAAAAATTAAATAAATTCAGTAAAGTGATTCTAAGATTTTAGAAAATATTTTTAAAGCTTTTTGTTGAAATTTGAACCTCAGAAAAATAAATAAAGTTTCCTTCTACCAAATTCAATATTCAAAGTAGAATATGTCTTCTACTGTATGCTCTCACATCTATCCACCGTAGAGCGTAAAATCTACCGACTGTTATAGTTTCTACCATCGTAGAATTTGATTTCTACTAAATATTCAATGTTCTACGACTTGGTAGAACTGTAAAACATTTGTTCTACGATATACATGGTTGTCTACCACCGGTAGAATTTATATTCTACCATAAACATTCTCTTCCACTATATGAAGAATTCGTGTTCAACTAAAAATACTATCTTCTACTATTTGTAGATTGTGTGTTCTCTGAAAAACATTGCCTTCTACCGTTTGTAGAAATTGTAATCTACCTTAAACACAGTTTTCTACGAAATGGTAGAATGCATCTTCTACGGAAATCTGAGAAAATATAGTAAAAATGGTAACTGAATATTTTAAAATCTTTTGAAAAAACAACATTTCCTTTAATTTTTTTTCTCAGAAAAATGAAAAAAAATACATTTCTTCCATATTGTTCTTCTTCCTCCTCTCCATTTTTTCTTATCTTTTATCTAGTTTTTTCTTCCATTATTTGTTTCAGTTTTTTCTTCTAAGTTGCTATGTTGCAAATCTATGTAACATGTGGCACATGGAAATCGAGTACAATCAAGGGTTAGAGACACTTAAGAAACTTGCAGTTTTACTTAATTGAAAAAACAAGCAGATGAGATAATACAACAAGGAGAAAAGTAGTAAAGAAGAAGTTTGAAGGAGAGAAGAGTCGACGACACTAAAACTTCTCTTTACTTTTTATTATTTATTAATTAATTTATTTATTTTTTAATTAATTATTTAATCCCAATTCTATTAAAACATGATTTGAGGGTTAAAATTGGGTTTAAATTTTTATAAAGAGTAAGTGGACAAGTTTAGGCAAAAAAAGAGTAGATGGACAACTATTCTGTAAATGTGGAGTATTTTGCCAAATTTCCCGTAAATAAACCTTGTTGCCACTCACAACTTGACCTCTAATTTATATATTTTGAAACTATGTATTGATTTTGAGACACGTTTTGGTTCTATTAGTTGAAAGTTGAAACCATATTGACCACAAAAAAATAAGTAATAAATTCGTAAATATAAAGATCAAGCTTTTCAAAAACAGAGAGATATTAACTTAATCTCCTCATTTCTAGCAAAAAACGAACTAATCTTCTCATTGTGTAACACCATGAACATGAAGATGAGTGACGTATTTGAGTTTTATGCTATAATATTTCTTCATGGCTTCAGTTATCTCCCAAACAACTTTTATGTCTTTAGAGAAAACAAGCACATCCCCTTTCCCTATCACAAAGGCAATAAACAAACTAAAAAAATGAAAGTACATAAGTGCTAAAAGTTGAAACTTTTAAGGGGAAATTGCTTAATATAGTACACAATTTGATTTGAAATGCAAAAATAGACCCCTTATTGCACTTATGTCAAAACTAATCTTCTGGACATGCCAAATTACAAACCACACCCTTATGAACAAACAAAAAATGAGAGTCACATTAAAGAAATTTTTTGATTAAAACAAATTATACATAAATAAGATGAAAACATTTTGCATACATTAAAAATAAAATTGCATGTAAATGAATCCATTTAAGTCAACTAAGATTAATTAGGTTTGTAACCTCTAAACTGTGTGAAGTCTACTCGAGAAGTGTACTATATGGTAAAATCTTAAATTTAAAATTTAAAATTTATAAAAAAATATTTTGGTAAAGAAATTTACACATAATTTTAACATAGACATTTACTATCCATGAAAAATAAATTTGCATATAAACTGATCAATTTAAATCAAGTAAGACAAATTATGGTATAATCCCAAAAAAATTGTGTGAAGTCTACTGAAGAAGTCTGCTTAATAACACAATCTAAAATTTAAAGTTTAAAATCTACAAAAAAAAAATTTGATAAAAAAAGTTATATATAATAAGTTAAATAAAGTCCTATCAATGCAAAATAAAATTTCATGAAAATGAATCAATTAATAAGTTTCATGAGTGAACCAATCAGCAAGCTTAGTGTTTGAGATATATTGTATAGGGTTTGTTAAGAGCATTGTTAGGGTTTAGATAGTTTTGATCAAAAAAAATGTTTACGGTTTGTTTAATGATTTAAAACTTAGCAATTCGTAGTTTATAATGTAAATTATGATTATGTATACATAATTAATGTTTCCTATAGTCTTAATCTTGAAAATTCGTTTTAGGGTTTAGGGTAAGTCAGACTTCATCGGTAGACTTCAGTGTTAGACTTCGTAGCGAAGTCTGTAACTAAAAAAAAAGCGAGCGGGAAACAAAATATTTTGGGCGGGAATTGGCGGGAACTAAAATACAGTATAAACTCTATAAATTAATAACGTTGGGACTTTGATATTTTATTAATTTATAGAGTTATTAAATTATCGATCTTGAATAAAATAGTTGTTTTATTAAAAAATAATTAAAATAAATATTAAATTAAATAAAAATAAGAAATTTTTAAAAGTTTTTATATTTTGTATAGGTTCATTCTAAAATTAGGGATGAATTCAAAATATATTTGATTTTTAGTAGAAAAGAAGTGAAAATTATACTTATATTTTAGTATATTATCATATATATGTATTTACATAAAATTTTATTTATGGTAATTATTAATTTATGATATTAATGGGACCATATATTTACATAGGAGTTTCAAAAATATTATTATCTTATTATTTTATCGAATTTTGCTAAGTTTTACACTGGCCCGACTTGGGACCGAAGAAAATTATTATTTTATAGAGTTTATTAATTTATCGAGTATCAATTTATAGAGTTTCTACTGTATATTTGAACAAATTTATGATACAATAAAGTCGGTTTGGGGACTTTGGAAATAAACTTCTCTTGTAAACTTCGAAGTCTATTTAACCGAATTTAACCGGAAATTTTTTCATCTAACCGAAAAATTGACCAATAACCTAATTTTGTGGAAAAAAATTTGAAACTCAGCTCACGCGTCTCTCTCTTTCATCATCTCTCCGTGAAACCTTCGCCGCTTCTTCTCACTTGAGCGAAGCCACTCGCCGTCAACTAGCGAATGGCTTCTCTCTATGCTCCAATGTATCTACGCCGCTTCTTCTCGCCTGAGCAAAGCCACTCGCCGTCAACTTCGCCGGTTCTTCTTGCCTGAGCGAATGGCGGCTCTCTCGGCTCCAATGGATCTACGCCGCTTCTTTTTCTTCTTCTCGGCTGAGCAAAGCCACTCGCCGTTAACCTTTGCCGCCTCTCCCTCGCCATTAACCCCCGCGTCATCTCCCTTCTCCGCCTCTCTCTCCCTCGCATCCCTCCTCTCACCGTTGGATCTCTCTCTCTGATAGGTGAATCTATCTCGCTTCTCTCTCTCACTTTGATTCATGTTTTTCATTTTTCCTGCTGCGAATGTGTTCTTATCTGATAGAGTAAGACTTGATTCTGTATTGGTTGCTGCAGGATATGGCTGAAAAGAAAGAGCTATTGGAAGTAGAGGGTGAAGGACAAGGTGAGGAGTTCAATTCGAAAGGATTTTTATAGAGCAGATTAGTTTTATTTTTTGCTGTAAGATTAAATTGCTGCTATTGAATCTATTATGATTAATGGATGTAGCAAATTGTTGAGCTTCAAGAGCTGTACAACTCGGAACAGCTTGTAGCTGCTGGACAGAGAGAGAAGCTTGATAAGACTGAGGTATCTATCACAAGATTTTGTTTCTGGCTTGGTGCCGAGCACAATTCACTTTCCTTCTACTGACATGAAAGGATTCTTTTACCTCTGATATCAAAAAAGCTCTGTGAAACTGAACAAGCATTGTTATTTTTGTGTTTGCAAATGATCTTTAGACTGCAGGAAACTGCAGCAAATGATAGTCCATTTCCATCGACATTGAAGAATAAAAGAATCCCTAAAATTGTGTATTTCAGATCGTGGGCTCTTTTCTCTTAAAGGTAACACTTTCCTGCTTCTTTTGTTCTTGTATTCCATCTTTATAAACCATTAACTGAGATAGAAAAAGGTACACCGAAGCAAACTTAAGATACTATCTGCAAATGCAAACTCTTATGCCTCATTTTAAACAAACTGTTATTGCTTTTCCGCCAAATTTCGCTTTGATATTATTTGAGATGGAACATTTTGGGCATGTAACAAAATATTTTGCTTTAACTGCATAACCAAATATATATGAGGTCCTTGCATAGCTGTATCCAAATTCCAGTGACCTTATTGCCTCTGTTATGATTGTTTTTGGTTATAGGTTCAGTTACATGCATTTTATATCAAGTGTTTTTTTTATTCTGACTATGTCAACTGTTTCCATTGTTTGGCACAGTGATTTGGAGATGCGGAGAAGCTCACAAAAGCTCTCTTCTCCTTTGCAAGCAAACTAGCGCCTGTGATTATCTTTGTCGATGAGGTGAGAAACTGTTGATCTTTATTGATGTTACTTCTCCATTCACTCTTGTGCTGAGTACAAGGACGGACCTGAAATATGTTTTTGTTTGTGTGGTTAGGTTGACAGTTTGTTGGGCGCTCGTGGTGGTTCGTTCGAGCATGAGGCAACACGAAGAATGAGAAATGAGTTCATGGCATCCAGAGACACGTCCATTGGCTTCTATTGTAAGTTCTTGAAGTTTTCTAAACACAAAACCATTACACTATGATGAAATATTCATTTGCAAAACCGATTTTTTTTTGTTTCTGACTAGAGTTGCGTTAGTTTATTTGCTTCTTTGTCTCACATATGCTTCTCTTTAATCCGCTAGTTGAATGTTCTGCTTGTGGAACTCTCTGCTGTTACTGTCCTCGTTTAATATGCTGTTAAGATGTCCTTGTTTCATGTTTGTTTTAGCTTTCTTTTGTATATGCTCTACTACCATCACTTCTTCTTAATGGCTCAAAGATTTGATATTGAGATTGCTCTCTTAGGTAAATGATCATTATCTCATATCACTGGTTTTAGCAGCATTCTGGAGCAAACGTGAAAGAAGGCTTTAGTATTCCATTTGATGAATTAACATAGGTTGCAGTTAGACAAAAATCCTTTTTTTTTTAATTTTCACAGCTTTAATACAGTTGGTACAAGATTTTGTATGAGTGTATATATAATTTGTGCTGTATTAATGTAACAGACGCTGAGTTTAATATGTTAAAGATGTAGGTGCAATTTTCAGTAAAGTAGACAAGGGAAAGAGGAAAGCATTGAACGCGAAAGAGTTCACAGGTGTGGTGAAAGACATAGAGGTGGGGGTCAACATAGAAAAGTTGAAGCAAGCTTTGGCGGCTAGATGGTAGTATAAGACTTATGTTTTGCAACACTTGTTTTTGTATGATGTTTGTGTAAGATATATGTTGGTTGATTAATGAAATAGTCTCTCTGAATCAAATTTTTAGTAGATGACATAGTAGAAAATAACCAATGAAAAAAAATTGTACCATAAGACTTCTTTAAATTTCATAGAAGACTATCTCAACCTTAAAAATCCAAATATAAACATTTGTGATGTATTTTATTTAGCTAAAAAAAAAACAAGTTGAAATAGATATTAGATTTACGAATAGACTTTACTAGATGATTACACAATATTTTTAAAAAGTACATGTACAAGCATGTTGATGCATTTTATCTAGCTAAAATGGACAAGTTCAAACAAGGCATGGGTGTTCGGTTATTCGGGTCGGGTTCGGGTCAGTTTCTTTCGGGTTTCGGGTTTTTCGGTTCTAGAAAATTTAGAACCATTCGGGTATTTTTGATTTTCGGGTCCGGTCCGGTTCGGTTCCGCCCGGGTTCGGATCGGTTCCGGATATCCAAACTTTAGTTACAAAAAATAAAATAAAAATAAAAAACTGTTTAATTTATACGAAATTTAACAAAATTTCGGAAAAAGATATTGAATATTAACAAACATAACTAAAGATTTTTGGATTTCTTAGAATATTTTTGTTATTGTTTTCTAAATATAACTATTATATTAGATTTATAATTATAATTTTATATATTTTGGTTATTTTAAGTCTAAATATAACTAATATATTGGATATATAGTTATATTTTGAATATTTCGGGTATCCACAGGTTTTCGGTACGGTTCCGGTTCTTTCGGGTATAGAAATTTTGGACCCATTCGGGTATATGTGTCGGTTCCGGTTCGGTTCAGTTCCACTTATTTCGAGTCGGGTTCGGTTCGGTATTTCGGGTCCATGTAAAAATGCCCAGGCCTACTTCAAACAAATAGTAAGATTTCTCGAACAGACTTTACCAGTATACTTCACAGAGAAGTCTATTTTGCAATGACCTAATATGCTAGTCAAACAAGAAAACCGTTTTGACTTTATATATAACAAATAAGAATGTCAAACTAACACAAAAGCAACTAAACAAACATTTACAACTAATTGTTTGATAAAATCTTAAAATTTCATTATACAGTTTCTAAAAATACGTTTTTAAAAGTTACATCACAAAGTATACTTCTTGAGTAGATTTCACATGTAGACTTCGCGATGAAGTCTATTTGGTAATGTATAATATGTTAATCAAATAAGAAAACCGTTTTCACTTCGTTTATAACGAATAAACATGTAAAACCCACACACAAACAACTAAACAAACTAATACAACTACTTGTTAAAAAAAATTAAAAATTCATTATACATTTTTCAAAAATGTGTTTTTTAGAAAAATGTTAAAATGGTAGACTTCACAAAGAAGTCTACAAAGTAGACTTCCCGATGAAGTCTATTAGATTAGTTTTGCAATTGACCAAACAAAAGACTTTTTTGAGAAGTCTACACGTGAAGTCTACTTAATAAAAATGTTAGTTTTGTAATTGACCAAACTTTGACTTTTCCGAATAAACTTCATTAACATGAGTAGACTTCAAAATGAAGTCTAACTTCACCGTAAAGTCTACCGTTGAAGTCTATATGAAGAATTAGACTTCATATGGGTTAGTTTTGCAATCGACCAAATTTTTTACTTTGGAAAGTAGACTTCGCAGCGAAGTCTACTTTAATAAACGTTGACCATTAGACTTCAACCAGAAATCTATCATATATTAGACTTCACAATGAAATATACTCACGAGTAGACTTTATTGTGAGGTCTAATACAGCCTAAATAGACTTCATGAATAGACTTCACAAAAAAGTCGTGCATGGTCAATTGCAAAACTAGTCTTTTTTTTTAAGCAGACTTCACAGTTAGACTTCTCTTAAAAAAATTTTACTCGGCCAAATACAAAATTAATACGTTTCGAGTTAGACTTCACGGGTAGACTTCACGTCGTTTTTTTGTTTTCAAAGGAGTATGGGGTAGACTTCATTGTGAAGTCTACTCTCCAAATTTTTTGAAAAGTCAATTGCAAAACTAGTCTGTGAGTTGACCGATAGACTTCATTGTGAAGTCTAATTCGCAGCAAAATATGAAATTCACTTAGATCTACAGGAACTTTACCTTGTTGTGATCTTAAGTTACGTTGACAGCCTAGAACTTCGATTTAGAGTTTCAGCAAACTTCCCCAACCGTTAGAATGAGCTCAGACACCAAAAATAGCAAGATCTAAGAACCTTAGTTTTGAAAAGATGAAAAACTAAGTTTTTGGGGTGAAAATGGAGATGAAAGATGAAAAACTAAGTTTATGAGATGATAGAATGAGTTGGTAGATATGTTTGAAGAATAAATCTTGCATTCAAAGTTTCATTTCGGTTGAAAATGGTTGTTGGATGAATTGATAGTGATGATATTTTCGTGATTAATTGAAGAAGATGAGATTTCTTTGGAATTTTTTTAAAAAAAAATTAGACTTCACAGTTAGACTTCGAGTGAAAAAGTAATGGCATTTTTGTTATTATGTGAATATGGTGAGGATAGAGAAGGAAGAAAAAACACATTTTACAATGGAGACTACTTTTATATTTGACCCCAAATCTTGTACTTGAAGTGAAAGAAGCCTAACTTTTAACTAAATCAACGGTAATAGGCGTAGAGGTACATCACAAGAAACACAACTTTTGAAATAGAGAATTAGGGACTCCAAATTTCAGGTTTAAGTTTAAAGGGAGTTTTTATTTTGTTTTTTAACATTTAATTCATTCATTAAAATCAAATCCTGTGCAAGAGTTGTTACATCCATAATACATCAATAATGAGAAAATCCAAATACACATCATTTTACTAAAATAGCATAAATTTTTATGTTAATTACTAGATTAACTCAAATTATTTTAAAATTACTAAATTTAATATTATACCTGTATTACCTTTAAATGCTTTGATAAGAAAAAATGTAATTACATAATTGTCATTACTATTTATTTGTATGTCATCATTTTATTTTTTTTACGGAATTGCCACTACCATTTCGAAAATCCAATCTGATAAATCTGTCAATTTATTGACGACAGAGTTTCTAATGTTCTGACAGATTTAGTCTGAGTAATTTCTCAAAAGAACAATGAAGAAGTGAATTTCCACGATGCTTTGGATAAGACTTAATTACTCGCCAACAGGTTACTAAATCCGTTTCTTTCCCTTTCCAGAATCAATCCAAAAATGATGAGATCGTCGCTCTAGGCTATCATCTCTTGAATAAGACTCCATAATCCTATGTTATTGATGATACTCAATATTTTCTCTGATTTATTGATTCTACGTGAATATGATATGCCTGGATCCCAAATTCGTTGATCAAGCCACCAAATAACTCTTCCGAATTTATAATCAATCCCTTTCATTAATAGGGATCGTGGGTAGAGGGCATCATAAAAGAATAGACTTTTCACGGAGATAACAGATTCTTCGTGGGTGAAATCAAAACACAGACACACACCAACAATGAACCATGAATGAAACACTTCCATAATTTAAAGGGAGTTTATAAATTTGTTTTAGTCGGGTTTTCTCTCTTTCTAAGAGTTACCATAAGAAACACAACCTTTTGAAATAGAGAATTAAGGGTTCAAAAATTCAGGCTTAAGTTTAAAGGGATCAGTTTATCAATTTGTTGCTGGTTTTTTTTTTTCCTTTGTAAGAGTTACACTCAGAAAACATGCGTATAATTATTATTTTTAAACAATTATTATTTCGTCCTTTTCGACAATGAATAAAGACGTGTACAATGAACAATTATTATTTCGTCCTTTACCGCTTCATCTTGAAACAATCTCGTTTCCACTCTTTCTTTTCTCGAAAATACCAAACTATGATAATTTTTTTCCCTCTGTTTCATAATAAGTGTCATTTTGACTCTCACTTACCCAATATATCTAGATGTATATAGATGTATTAAGACTCAAAACACATCCCAATACATCAATAAATAGTCCAGATTCATTTTGTCAAAACGATATTTATTATGAAACGGAGAGAGTATATTCTTCCAACATGCATTCTACAAATTTTAAAGAACTTGATATCTCAAATCTCATAATAAACGTAATTGATGAGGGTTGACCATACTACAACACCTACCATAGTTTCATGCCATTCTTCAAGTAAACTATGAGCAACACACAAATATTTAAATGTTCTGTATTCCTCTATTAGCAGTTAAAAGATCTTCAAAATTTGTATATCCTTTAACGTGGCTAATAAGAAGTCTTAGGTAAAATATTTCACAAGTATTTGGATGAACATTATACAAATTTCCATTAATTTGACATGTTTTTCTATTTTTCCAAGTAAGAAGAGGGGACAAGCAAATTAGAAGAAAAATGGCTAGGAAGATTCAAAGATTCTAATTGATGGACAAAACTGAATAAAAAATATATAGAAGTGAAAAGATATCACTATAATAGGTTGCAACTTTTCATCAAGTTACGTGTTTATAAACGAAAAAATGCCATTCAATAGACACAACCCTTTATATTATAAACAAAAAGATTTGTCTACAAAATTGGGTTTATGCAGGAAAGAGATAACAAGGTGGAAGAGGAGGAACAGATATAATGCAGCAGAAGATATACAGTTGCTTCGGAGCAGATTGGACATGGCACTGAGGGATCCTACAGTGGAGAATTCAGAGATAAGAAAGCTACGATCTGATCTTAACCGTGCTTACTATAATGAAGAAGTTTACTGGAATCTTAAGAGTAGAACTAAATAGTTGCAGGCGGGGGATAAAAACACGGCTTTCTTTCACGGAGCTACAAAAGCTAGGAAACCAAAAACATGTATCAAAAGAGTGCAAGATGACGAGGGGATAGTGCATACCAAAGATGAAGCGATTGCAAAGGTGGCAGAGGATTACTTCCATGGGATGTTTACTGCATCTAATACTCGCTCTTTAGCTGACATCATACCGGAGATGGATCACAAGATTACTGAGAAATTAATGCGGCTCTAATACGGGATGTCTCAGATGAAGAAATCAAGGCAGAAATGCTCTTAATTGGCCCAGATAAAGCACCAGGTCATGATGGTTTCTCTGGTGTCTTCTACAGACATTTCTGGGATGATATAGGTACTGATGTCTGTAAAATGGTTAAAAAAATCTTTGCAACAGGGGTTCTAGAGGAGAGGATGAATCATACGCAGCTTTGTCTAATACCAAAAATAACTGATCCAGAGAAGATATCTGCCTTCCGTCCAATAAGCCTATGTACGGTAAGTTACAAAATAATCTCAAAGATTTTGGTTTTGCGTTTGAAACAAATCTTAGGGGTTATAATCTCTGATAACCAAGCAGATTTTGTCCCTGGAAGGCAAATTACTGATAATGTAATGATTGCACATGAACTAATGCATGGCTTGAAGTCTAAACGAGATTGTGCAGAAAATTACATGGCGATCAAGACAGACATTAGCAAGGCATATGATCGAGTTGAGTGGAATTTTTTGGAAGAGGTGATGAAGAAGATGGGCCTTTCTGAAACTTGGACACAGTGGATTATGGCTTGTGTCAGGTCAGTTACATTCTCAATCATAATCAATGGATCTGATTATGGTATTGTAAAACCAAGTAGAGGTATCCGTCAAGGCGATCCATTATCTCCGTATCTCTTTTTGTTTTGTGCATAAACATTGTCTCAAATGATTAACCAAGCTGAGGCTCGGCGAGAATTTCAAGGTATGACACTTTCACAACATTGTCCTTCCGTTTCACATTTGTTATTTGCGGATGATTCTCTATTCTTCTGTAAAGCTACTACTCAAGACAGTATGAGGATGGCACAAATTCTAAAGGATTATGAAGAACTCTCAGGTCAGAAAGTTAATCTCCTTAAGTCATCAGATATTTTTGGCATGAGAATTCCGTATTCAAGAAAACAACACATTCAGAGTGTTTTGGGAATCTATAATGTAGGCGGAGGCGGGAAATATCTAGGTCTCCCGGAACAATTTGGACAAAGCAAGACAGAGGCGTTTCAGAGTATTGTGGATGGGGTTAAGAAGACTGTTGGAGGATGGTACAACCAATTTCTAACAGCTGCAGGTAAAGAAACTCTGATAAAGTCGATTGCACAAGCCAAACCAGTTTATTCAATGAACTGTTTCTTATTACCAAAACAAACGTGTGAAAAGGTGGATAGTATCCTTTCAGAATTTTGGTGGGGAACAAACGAGCACGGTAGGAGGAAGATCTCGTGGATTTCATGGAAACGCTTGGCCCTACCTAAAAGTGAAGGAGGTATGGGTTTTAAAGATTTACACTGTTTCAATAAAGCGTTGTTAGCAAAATAAGCTTGGCGATTACTTATTAATCCGTCATCTTTGCTCGCGAGGTTGTACAAAGGAAGGTACCACAGATCATCGACATTCTTAGAGTCGGTGGGTGGGAGGAATCCATCGTATGGATGGAAGTCAATACAAGCAGGAAAATCCTTGCTTAAAAAAGGTTTACAAGTAAGATTAGGAGATGGTGAAGATACGAGTGTCTGGGATGATAATTGGCTCCCAGTGTTACCGCCAAGGGTGGTACAGCAACAAGGATATCGAAGAGAGATGAAAGTGAAGGACTTATGGAAGCCAGTAATACGGGAATGGGATGAGGACAAGCTTGCTGCATTATTGGATGTGGAAGATGCCCGTCATGCTAAAACCATCTGACTGTCAAGATATGCTCAGAAAGATAAATATGTTTGGCCATATATGGCGGATGGTGTGTATACAGTGAAATCAGGCTACTGGACGGCTACACATATTATTCCCCATGAAGACCAAATTGAACCTCCCCCGGGATCAGTTACACTCAAACGTGCTTTATGGAAGACAAAGATAGCGCCAAAACTCCAACATTTCTTTTGGAAGGTAATATCTGAAGCCCTCCCTACGGCACAAAGATTATGTTCTCGTGCTACAAATATTGATTCTATCTGTCAAAGATGCTGTCTTGAAGAGGAGACACTAAATCATTTATTTTTTCAGTGTCAACAAGCCCAATCGGTATGGAGATGCGCTAACTTTGTGACTCTCGATGGTCAGGGCACACTTGAAGAGAACATACGGAAGTTAATGTCATTTACCGAGATTGAAGATCTGTCATATGAGGTGAGATATTCTGCTTTTCGGGTAATGTGGATGATTTGGAAGTCAAGAAATGAAATGTTATTCCAACAAAAGGTCACACAGCCGCAGGAGGATGCTAGGAGAGGCTTGCAAGCAGCAATGGAATGGTTAGAGGCAAACCCTGAGAAGCATATTACGGAGAGGCAACGACACGCAACAATCCAATGGGAACAACCACCAGCAGGAATTCTAACGTGCAACTTTGATAGTAGCTTCTCCCGAGATAGTGATTCTATGGCTGTAGGATGGATAGTTAGGAATCATACGGGTATGTTCATGGAAGCAGGATGGACAAAGCTTCCACAAGTTGATTCGCCTTTACAAGCTGAAGCTTGTGGCTTTCTTTATGTGGTTCAACGAATATGGTGCAAAGGATGGAGGAATGTGTGGTTTGAAGGGGACAATTTGGAGCTTACGAATATAATCAACCACCAAAAGAAGAGTATGGAGCTCGGTAATATCCTTTGTGATATTAACTTTTGGATTCGGAAGTTACCATTATGCTCACTTGGCCACATCAACAGGGAAAGAAACCAAGCAGCAGATGTGTTAGCTAAGGCTTACTTAAGTTCACAAAATTCTTGTATGTTTCTTTCATCCCCACCATTTTGGTTGAGGAAATATTTGTATTTTCTATTCACATTATGAATTAATATAATCAGATGTTACAAAAAAAAAAAGGTGCGACCACAAAAAACATTTATTCAAATTGCTATTATAAATGTTCCTATATTTATTCAAATTGCTATGATATTTACCCCAATGAGGGTACTCTAATGTAACAAAGACTCGAAGAGTAGCGAATCAATTATTGATTCATGGGTGCTCCAATGAAAAGGTAATAAGTAGAGAAGAGATACTTGTATACAGAAGTTGAAAATGACCAAAAAATAGTATCACAAGTTTTGCTTTCAATTTCTGTTTACAAGCCCCCAAAGAAAACCAGAAGTTAAAAATAAAAATTACTATTGAACTATGATCGTTCTCTTTTTAATGTTTGAGACATAATTTGTGTTGTGAAAAACCTAATAAATTTATAATATTTAAAATCTCCACTGATTAATCTAGTCACATGGAATGTTAATGCACACCATTGGAACACGTTTGGATGAGAGATGATACGAAAGGAAGGTTTCTTGCTGCGCAAACAAGTGGAGTTTTCTCTTACGGATAAACTCAACGACGACGGATCTCTATTTCCGGCGATAGAATAGTGTCTACGTTGTGCAACAGAGACTCACTACAGTGATGATCAGAAAAGGCGGGCGATGGAAGACGGTGGCTACGTCAACACCGGCTTCCTCTTGGCACGTGTTGTCTTCTTCTCCTTCTTTGTCGTCTCTTTTCACCACAACTCTCTTCTCTTCTCACTTACCTTTTCCATTTATCTCCTATGATATCTTCAGAACAATTGGCCATGGGCTCAAGAAATTAAAAACCCAAAAATATATTTTTCCACTAACTGAAACGATTTGTTACCCATTTAATCAGTAATATATTGCCGTGAAGTTTCCCACTAAGAAAGGGGTACGTTTAACAAACGTGTCTTTTTTTTGTTTTGCGTTCAACCATGAAGATGCATCTTCTCACAAGTCACAACTTATATATATTATACTATTATTTGCGAAGTCAGAATTTCGAATGGAGCCACCACGTTAATTCTCAGCCGTGGAATTACCGAGATGCCCTTAATGAAAATCTATTATTAAATTTTCATAATTTCTTTTTTTATAAATGGTTTGTTAATTAGTCTTCAAAATCTTTTGATAATATCTTCCTTTTTAATAATGGAAATTATTAATCTTTTCCTTCTACTATCAATAAAAAATTAGTAAAAAATATTTTGCTAATTCTGTTGCAAATCTATTATTAAATCTTCTAAATTTCTTTTTTTAATTATTTCATTTCGTTTTTTATATAAAAGTTCATTATTTCCTTATTAATTTCCTTATTAAATATTGATAATTATCCTTTTCTTTTTTCCTCGATTTATATTTATCACTTAAATAAATATCCTAACTATCATATTACCGCACCACTTTTCTGGAAGAAATCAAATAATTAGGTATTTTAAAAAAACTCTAGATTTTACAACCGACTTAGTCCTATTTAACAAGCAAAATAAACAGAATTTCGTTTCTTCTTTTTCGTGTTCTAAATTCTTCGATTCCATATTTCATCTTTTGTCATGTAGGTTTATAGTTATTGCTAGATCTTAGTTGTATTAGATCTAATGTTTAACTGATTATTCGTTATTTTCTGGAAATTTTATTCAAAGAATCGCATCTAACTTCTACTTTTTTACCTTTATAACAGTAAATTCCAGGTTTGTTAGCTAATTGAGTCAAAGAAATCAACTATGGTACCAACTCAAAAAAATGCATTGACAAAAATTAGTGGTATGTACATCTTTCGTTTTTATTTTCAACTTAAATCTTATGAAACCCTAATTTGAATAAACTTATCTAAAAAGATTTTGTAAAATGTGGGTTTAGGTGTGCGGATTGGGGGGGAGGGGGTTGTTATTTGGTAGTGGTGTTACAATGTGGGGTTTGGGTTATTTAGGGGGTGGTGTTACACTGTGTTTGGGTTTAGGGTGTAGGGTTTATATTGATGGGGTAGGGTTTAGTTTTTGGTGTATTTTAAAAAAACTTGAATTATTACAGAAGAATTTCATAATAAAAAAATCATTTATTTGAAATTTATATCTACTTTCAAAATTACATTCACAAATAGAAAAAAAAACTAAAACAACTAAAGAAAATCCAGAATTGAAAGATAACAAAACTAATAAATTTTTAAAAGACCTCAACTATATAAAGATAGAATCTATTTCAAAAATATTGAAAATTTTAACTATCGAAATGAATTGGTAGGTGATATGCAAGACACAAACAAGACATAATAGATACATAAGTAAAAGAAAAGAAAACAGTGAAAAAGAAGATGAAAAATTTAGAAAAGAAAAAGAAAAGTCGAACATGAGGAAAAAGAAAGGAAAGAAGAAATAATGGAATGTGAAGAAAATTCCAAAACAAATGAAGAATATTACGTAGAAGAACAAGAAAGAGAAGATAAAAATAAGACACCTCAAGATTACAAAAATAAGAAGTTTGCGAAAACAAAAACGATGAATACAATAAAAAGTTGTACTACTTATATTATTTAAATCTTTAATTAATAATTGTATTTAAAAAATATTGTACCCGCACAAGGTGCGGGACAACCACCTTATTCCATTGTAAAAGTTATAGATTATATTTATTCTTTCAAAGTTATTCAACCGATTACCCCTTCGTTCTTTGCTTGTCTCTTTGGCGTACATTACACCCTCTGATTTTTATCCCTAAATTTTCTTTAAACATCATCGGTAATTATGTTGATCATGTATCTCATATTTGAATTATCTCCACACTGATTTTCAAGTCAGGATTTATGATAAGTTGGTTATATAACAATTAGATTTGTCTTTTTTTGTAAATAAATCTTCGCCATAATGAAGTGAATGAGGTAACTACCATATAAGTAAATTATTACAAACAAAAATATACAAGATGAAAGAAGAAGGGACAAAAAATCAGAGAAGAAGTAGGACAGAAAAAACAAAAAACTGTAATATAGGGATCAACTAATTTTAAACAATATATATAGAAGTAAAAGTTCATTATTATTAAAAGTTGCAACTGTTCGTAAAGTTAGGCAGTTATAAGCGAAAAGATGAACGGTTATAAGTGGAACAGTTACAAGCGAAAAGATAAAAAGACATTTATTCAGATTGCTCCTAAACCAACAAAATAAAGCAACTGCTACTAAAGTATATACATAGATTTTCATGCATATATCTTGCTGCATATTTTAGCATTTCACACCCTATTTCTTTATCTCATTAAAATAGAACTCAATAGTGCCTGATAAAAAAAATGAGCATATTAGTATGCGTAGAAAGTATATCCTCATTGTATGGAAGCTTGTACACAACTTCTTTTTGTAAGGCTTGTACACATTGCTTACTTTAAAATTTTGTAGAACAAAAGAAAAAATTCTTTGAAACGTTTCTGTTCTCTTTGTTGACCAATCTGCAATTTACAATATCTTTGATTAAATTATTGCCTACCTTTTTTTCAAAAAAAAAAAACATTACATCTTCAAATAGTTACATTTTTTGTTATTGTTTTTAGAAAGCTTTCAGACTCGCTAAAAGTATTTTTAAAAGTGACCGTTAATTTCCGATAGTTACTAAAACTGCCAGTATTTTCTTCATATCTGTTTATCAAGCCACAAGCATAAGCGAAACAACAAACATAATACGGATATTAAATTGGCAGAGATTACATGAGTTGGCTTAGTATGACTCTCTACCAGATAAAAGAAATCTAAATTGGTCGCTTCTTAATTACAAACAAAAACAATAAGTTTCTAACTAAACCATAATTGTTCTAGTATTTACAGAGAGTTTTATGCCAGTCAAATGAATTTTATACGAATGATCTCTAATTCTAATTAGGTAGAGTTATAAAGAACGGGTAGAATTAGAAACACTTACAGAAGAGAAGGACAAGGAAAAAATACAAACTGTCGATCGTGTAACTGAAAACAAATTAACAAACCATTTACGAGTTGTGATTCAAATTCGGTAAATTAAAATGACAGCGAAAAGAAGTATTCATGTAGCAAGAAATATGGTTGGATAGTGATGAAAACCTGAAGGAGACAACAATGGTGATGAACAAAAAAGGGAAGACAAAATCGAAGAAAGAATTTTATCAAGATTAAGAGTTGAGAAGATTGTTAAATTTAAAATGATTACACAACATATATATAGAAGTGAACACTAAAAGATGCAACTTTTCAACAATTTAGCGGTTATAAGTAAAAAGATGTTGTTTGAAAAGACACAACTCTTTATATGAGCGGCTATAGATAAAACGGTTAAAAACGAAAAAGCACAACAAGACATTTATTCAGTTCGCAATTATATATAGATATGTGAGAAAGCAAGAAGATTGGTGAAACACCCTAGCACGGTTTTCCCTTATAAATTTAACTTGGTCAAATTTTAGGTCTGGTTTTACTTAACATTTCCAGTTGCATGAGGTTCCTACACTAAGTCATTTATGCACAAACGAATATTCAGAAACTTGAATTACTTAGATTAAATCCTTGTTAAAACGAACATCAGTTTAACTTAGGAAATGCAGAAAACTTGAAATACAAATTCGGTTCTAGCAACAATGTGAGTTCGCTATAGGCTATTACATCATTATCTAGACCGTTCTACCCAAACCTAATCATCCTTTCTTCCCGGTCTTGTCTCGCGTCCAGATCAGTCAATCCGGCCATCACCTATGGTCAAATCAGTTCCTGCCACATTGAAATGAGGCATAAGCAAATTAGTTTGCTTAGTGAATGTGGTCATCTTGCCCACTAAGTCACAGTATATATAATCGCAATCAAAACACACAGTTCAACAATCAGTCATGCCGTTAACCACATTCACTTATCGCGAACGGTCGGCTATCTAACCCGGCCGAGTTACCCTCGCCACTAGACCGACCATTCCGATCAAGCCATCATAATCAGTACGACAAGCAATCAGACACATTAACAAGCAATCATCAACCATTGAATCTATCTATGCCGTGAGAATGACTATACGCTATGACTACACGATCACACACTCACTTTAGTCAATCGGTCGGGGAATCGGATTCCCTTCAGTAAACAGAACGGATCGTACGGTTACTCGTACGGTCGCAGAACGGTCGCTCGGACGGTTCGTCGAACGTTCGGAGATCTTCGGTACGGTCAGCTCTTGGTCAGACTATCGATCAGAACGGCGCTCTCGATCGAAACAGACGATCGATACGGCAATATCGATCGGAACAGAAGAAAACTCTCTGTAACCACTTTCTCTCTCGGATAACCGTTTTCTCTCTGAACACTTAGAAATATTTCTGAATCTGAATGAATGAGAAATCCCTTCTCCCGAGTGATTTAACCCGTGATCTAGTCCATAACCGTCGGCTAAATGAAACACACGCGTTTTGGCTCTCGGCCATAACCATTCCCGCTCATTTCATTTTCCGCGCTCGCGAACAAGGGAATAATCGTTCCCGTGCATTTCCCTTCTGCGCATCTCGGCCAAACCCGATAACCGTTCCCGCGCTTTGACACTTAGCCGAATTATTCTCGAACGGAATAATATACTCTCGGCCAAAGTTATTTCCCGTTCCGACAGGAATAACCGTCTTGTCCGAACAAGACAAGACTTGTCCGAATCTCCACCAATCCGTTCGGTCAAGTTCAGCTAGTTCGGCCACTCAGCTCACTACCTCGGCCAGCTGACTGATCCAGCTCAACTACTTCGACATTTAGTCGTTCCAGCTCAAAACTCTCA